ATACCCCACACAGATAAACAGAAGTAAAACTAATTAGCCATAGACCCAGTCAATTATGGAAACTCACAGCTAGCCAAGTAAAAAGTACAGATGGAGCGAGAGAAGTTCAGACAAAGCCTCAGTCCTGAGGCCTTGAAAATTCAGTATAAGGCTTATGGCAAATTCTGGAGAATGACAATATTCCAGGTTCTATAGATTCTATGATTCTGATATTACAGGGCTATGTGGTTACAATGTTTTAGCCCCAAAAACTGTGGGCAGGTAAGAATGAGCTCCACATGCTATCAGATAACCCATTGTGTTTGACCATATTTTTAAGAAGGGGATATGCTGGAATTTTTTCTCTTCTGGTGTAGAAAACACAAGAATGCAAGAATTAAGAGTCACAGTTGTTGTATCTTTAAAAACTAGCACTTAGCTCAAAGTATATTGCATATTTTTACAGAAGAAATTGCTTTATGTAGAGAATGGTGGAAAACAAGGGTGATGGCATAGCCAAGCACTGAAATGATCTGGTTCTTTCTCAAAAACCTCTGATAAAAGAAAATCCACAGCCTCCCCAGGCAAAGAAACATCTACCAAGTTTAGCTGATTCTCCTTTGAGCTAGATAATCTCTGGATGTCCTTTTTAGTCCTATTGTTTGCTATTATTAGTTTTCCATTTTTACCTTAAATAAAAAATTCCTTGTTCACTCCCAAAAGAGATGATTTTTCTTACCTGCTTTGTCTTTTTGATAAACTCTGCATATGATATACTGATGTGTTTCCCCAGAAAGCCTCTGACAGGGCTTAAGCTTTGCAAAGCTTAAAAGTGGCCTTGTTTATTCTAGTCTACACTTTCTAAAATCATGTCATCCTTTATTATATATAAAGAATTATCTATTTTACAATCAGCTATTAAAGTGATCACAAAGAGAATGAAGCTCATGGCGCTTGTGTTGCCATCACTGCCTTTTTATAGCTGACATACAGATAATTTATTTTTCATTTAGAAAAATGAATGATGAAGCTTGGCTGGTCTGATGCTTTGTCAGTCCTGTCCCAAGACCCACTGCGTGCATACAGCTTATGTAGTTAATCTTAGTTCTGACCAAAGGGAAGGAAAACATAGGCAAGGCTGTTTCCTTTACATAAAACTTTGCTGTAAGAGACATAACAAAGTTTCTACCTTGTTAATACTCGGATTGCCTTTGAAATATTTGATATTCTTTCTTTCTCTCTCTCTTCCCTCTCCCCCTCAACATCTGTTTTCAACTTTACAGGGGAAAAAGACCCAACCAAACAATTCCTGCTAGAGAAAGAGAGCTAAAGAATATGAAGAAATTGTCGCATCTTCACCCAGAAGCATTCTGAAATTCTGGGAAGATTTCAGGTGTGTTACGGTTTTAGTTTGAGACCAACTGGAAGAGAAATGCATTCCTGTGGAAACCAGAAAGCAGAGTTTTTCCAAAACAGTTCAGGCATAAATGTACACTCATATCCCAGGCTGAATATTCACGGGTTATCTTCTAGATGGCCAAATGTCAGATTATATGGGATGCCTTGACTCACTTGGCTGGTATGTAACGTGGTGGGGTATATGGGGTTATTGTACAACACCAGCTGGAAGGTGAATGAGCAGTTAATGATCACACAGCATTTTGAAGATGTAGAATGTCCCAAAGTAGTGCTTTGGGGTGGGAAATGATCTTTAGATTCTGTGCACTCATTGACCCCCCTGAGAACTATTTTACAAACTAAAAGGCTAATGGAGGGAAGGTTATTTACAGAGGCATTAGGTGTTGCAGAGCTGTTCAGCAGCACCAGAAGGATCACTCTCGGCATGTGCATTCTGTTCCAGAATAAAAGCATACTTTGTGAAGGAATTCATCTTTAAAGGGCTGCCTGCCTAAGTGCTCTTCTGGAATAGCTCTTGCGGAATAATGCAGTTTTCAAAAGCACTGCCAGCCAGTTCCTCTGTAGAGACAAACCCTTGGGCACCCAGGATTAGACTTTAGGTACTTTAGATAATTTGCTTGATGTCTTGACTGGGGACCCTACAAGCACATCCTGAGGATGGTTAAGGGCTGTGGGTTTTCTTGGTTGGTTTCCCAACTTGGCTTAGCACTGGTAACATCCATGTGTGCTCTTAACCCCCCACAGATGGAGGGTGGGGAAGTTTTCACAGGCACCTTGACACAGGCTGAGACGCTGGTCCTGTCCTTTCTGCCATTTCAAACCTCCCACCCATCAGGGCAGGGACCCCCAGGGGCAGCCAGCAATTTCTCCTGCTCCCAAGAGTACATCAACATCTTTATGTGCAGTCCTGTCCTGACTGTGCTACCAAGGGTGAGCTAAAACAGGTGACTGCTTTCCAAACACTGTGTCTAAGAAGACTGCAGGAGTCTTGCAGAAGTGTTTGTATCCTAAGAAGCACCTTTTCCATCCTTTTCAAATGGCAGATGAAGTCATGCGGATGACTCAGCCTCACTTTCTTGTCCTGTGACTTCAGGCAAGCCTTTTCTCTTCTAGCTTTCTGACAGGTTTTGGCCATCCAATCCAAAAATGCCACGTGCCTTGTCTGGGAAATTGTATGTGTGGCACCCGGAAAAAATATTGCTGAGCTGCGTTGGACTGAATGCCCTCCAAAGCAACCCTGCTCCGTGTTTTTAATTAAACCTATCTTTCCCAGCGGTAAAATAAGGAATATACAATATTCCCCGGGGATGGCGAATAGATTTGATAAATTTTAGACGATAAAGTGATTGAAAATAATAATGCAACCGCATTTCAGAGCGGGGGAGAGGGCGCAGTCCCCGTTCCTGCCGGGCGCCTCCCTCAGGGCAGCCGGGCGAGTTAATGGCCGCTTCGTTTTGGGGGG